CCAAAAATCCTCCCCAAACAAAACAACTATTTCTAAAGTTTTTTAACATTTGTTGTTCCACATTTAGAGCTGTATTGTCTTGAATTAAAAATATTATTCTTTAACCACTTCATATGTTTAGATAATTTTGATTATATCTATCCCCATTACCCTCATTTATTCCATTCTTCCTGAACTCCTACTCCCCCACAAAGTCCCCACACTTTAGTTCCCTCTTTCTCTCTGTGAGCCCCAGTGTTTAATTAGGGTTGTCAGCGTGAGCATGGTTTGTTTGCTGGAGCATGGGCCACTTTGCAGTAGCCACAGCACTGAAGAACTGTGCTCTGACCAAGGCCAAGGGCAGCACAGTCTGTGGGAATAACCATGAACAGAAGGCAGTGTGACAGCATGCGTGGGCATTTAGCAGAACAGCAGCAGTAGGTTCCTCCTTGGGCCTGTGCCCTCCCTCTATGGAATAGGGTTCAAATCCATTCAGAAGGCAGTTGTCTACCCCATAAAGTCATGCTGCTATGTTCCCAGTGTCATATCTTGCCTGGCATGTCAGCATTGAAGCATGCAAGGTCCATAGTTAAGACATTGGTGGTTTTCTTCCCTGCATACACCTTCTGGGCAGTATGAAATCTAGCTGCAGGGAGAAAGCTTCCAGCTCAATTCCAACCTGATTTTTCTAAGTCTTGCAACCTAAGTGGGTGCTGTCTACCAATACAATCTATTAGCAATAGCTTTTATTGTTCTGGGGCCTCTGGGGTCTCCATGACCGATGGGAAGTATCCCACATCCGGCTCTGGGATTTCCATTTAATAACCTGTGCTGGACTAGAGAGAGATGGTTCAGCAGTTAAGAAAGCTTACTGCTTTTGCAGAGGACCCAGGTTCGGTTCCCAATACTCATGTCAGGTGGCACACAACCACCTATAACTCCATTCCAGGGGATCCTATTGACCCTGGCCTCTGTGGACACCTATGTGCACATAGAGTACAAACTCACACACGCACACAGATATACACATAAATAAGAGAAAAAAGATGGCTTCTGGAAGCTGGAATTTACTTTTTGTGTACAATGTGGAGTAGAGATCCTACCCCTCCTACATATTATAAAACTCCCATCCGATGTGCTTACATTATGTGATACTCCATTTTCTATAACCTGCAGTGTAGAAGTGAAGGGAGACTGCTGTTAATTTCACCCAGAGACTGGCAAGTACGATTAGCTAGGCTGGTTTTCACTTTTGTTTTGTCCCTCCTTGCAGAGCAGTGCTGAGTCTTAGTAAGGACCGCCTTTCAGGCCCCACAATATGTCCTTGTGCCTCCTCCATGCCTGGCATTTGTGTGGGCTGCACAGGGGCTGGAAAGGGGAGTCCTTTGTCACAGCAGGAGAAAGCTTTGTCCTGTCTCTTGCACTTAGCAATGCCTCATCAGAAGCTTTCGGCGTTTATGTAAGAAGTTTAATTTTTCTTGAACTTGAGTGAACTTAGTTTAAAAATTGTGTAGAATAGGATGTTGTCTTTCATAGTATTGGAAATGTCTTCTGATAAACACATTCTTTGTTGTTGTTAGCTTTGTGTTGTGGAAGTGTATATTTGGGAGGGGATTAGTGGGCTTTGCAATGGTGGGGAACTTGAAAACCTCTTTTAACTGTTTTCCACGGCTCCTCTTCCACTTTCTTCCTCTTCGGTTTCTGTCTCCCAAGTCCTCATACCAGGCACTCCATTCGGAAAAAGTGAGGAAGAGGTTAAAGAATAATTTCCCTAAAGAGAAAGTCTGGCATAGTGAGAGTGAATGAACATGGGAGGGGGTGGGGTGGGGCACGGAGGGGAAGGAAATGAGATGATCTGTGCCCCATGGACACAAGTGTATCTTTTTTCTTAGGGCAGCCTTGAACCTGCTCAAGGCTGTTTAGGAGGAAGCATTTTTTTTCAGGGTGGTAGGAAGGAGGGATTTGTGTTTCTAGACCCTTTTCAAGTGTGTGTTTGATCCAGTTTAGTGCTGAAAGTGTCAGCAGAGGGAAAAGATTTCAGTCTTAACCAGTCATGCTCTTGTTGTTAAAAGAATGAAAATCTGTAGCCTTTTACATGTGTACATGTTTCCACTTAAGGACCATGATGTATATTCTTTATATACATTAATGCTAGAGATAATTTGGTCTGAAAGTAGTTCTTCAGGTTTAAAGAGATGTGAATTACATTGATTAGACAATCACAAGGTTATTTTTCTTGTGCTTCTGCATTTTCTGATTTTTGTTGTTGTGGTGATGGTGGTCACTTCTTATTGGCAGTGATTATAAACATTAGTTTCATAGTGACTCTCGTTTCTTTCCTGTAATAATTGACACTGGAAAAAAAAAGGCTTTTGTCAAAGGGTTAAAATGAAGTTGCTTCTTATGCCTTTAATCCCAGCACATGGGAGGCAGAGGCAGGCAGATCTCTGAGTTTGAGGTCAGCCTGGGCTACAGAGGGAGTTCAGGGTTACCCAGAAAAACACTGTCTCAAAAAACAAAAAACAAAACAAAACAAAAAGAAAAGCAAAACAAAAAGAAAAACAAAACAAAAAGAAGTTGCTTCTGGTTGTAGTTGTTGTGCAATTATTGACGGGCCTAAGTTTACATAGGAAAACAGTGTAAGCTAGTGTGAAAGGCTGAGGGAACGAGCTTCTGAGTGAACACACATTCAGAGATCTAAATTCTGATGTGATTTTTTAAAAATAAATTTAGTGTGTGTGTGTGTGTGTGTGTGTGTGTGTGTGTGTGTGTGTGTGTGTGTGTGTAGGTCAGAAGACGATTTGTGGGAGTTGATTCTTTCCTGTCCAGTAGCCCTAGGGATCAAACTCAGGTTGTTAGGCATGGTGGCAAACACTTTCCTGACTGAGCCAGCTTGCTCTCTGAGTTCGCAGGTGATTTCTCATAATAGAAGGCATGTAGTAACCACCGACTGAAGATTGGGGCTGTTAAAATTATGCAATAGTTTTTTCAGGGAAGTACAGATGAACTTTGAAGTTTACTTATCTGTGTCTTGTCATTATACTGTTATTAAAAATTATCAGCCAGGTTGAGGATGTGGCTCATTGGTAGAGCATGTCTAACATGTACTCAGTCCTAGGTTTAACTCCCAGTACCACAAACAAAATTTATTACCTGGGTATGATAGTTTATACCTGTAATCCCAGTATTTGGGAGGTTGAGGCAGTAGGGCTGTAAAATGAGTTTCAGACCAGCTTGGTCTATAGAGTGAAACTGTCTGAAAAACCAACACCAAACCAAACCAAACCAAACCAAACCAAACCAAACCAAACCAAACCAAACCAAACCAACCAAACAATCAACCAACCAACCAACCAAACAAACAAGGTTTGGGATATTGCTGGGAAGGGTACTTGCCTAGAATGCAAAAGCCCAACACCAGAAAGGAAGATCATGTTGTGTTAGAAAGATATGTTGTTGATTAGCTCTGTTTAATATTTAGAGGCATTACTTTTCCTGGAACAGTACTTGATAGCCTGGGTGCAGTAGACATTTTATTGTGGAAGTATTGTATGAGTCAGGTGAACTTAACTTTGCTTTACTGAAATATGATAAGTTGTCCTTTGTGATGTGTGTTATATTTATTCATGGGCTATATAATTGATGACTGTATACATATATGATAAGGATTAGAATCAGCCATTAGAGATAATAGATGGTAAGTACATTCGATGATGTGTGTGCTGTAGGAGGTGGAATAGTACAGTTCTTACTTTTATTAATTTAATAATAATAATTATAATTTTTTAGAAGTCTTGTAAAAATTTATTTTCAGACCCCTGGAGCTGTAGTTACTGGCAGTTGTGAGCTACCTGATAGGGGTGCTGGTAACCAAACTCAGGTCTCTGGAAGAGTAGCAAGTGCTCTTAAACTGCTGAGCTATCTCTCTAGCAACTTAACTGCCTCTAGTCAGGATCTCTTTGTTATAGGCTGGTCTTCAGCCCCCCTCCTCCCCCCCACCCCCTCAGTCTTCCCTTCAGCCTCTGGAGAATGCTGAGATTGCAGTCACGTGCCACCATGCCCAACAATGTTATTTTAAAAATGTTTACACATAAAAACATTTTTGAGGGCTGGAGAGATGGCTCAGTGGTTAAGAGCACTGACTGTTCTTCCAGAGGTTCTGAGTTCAATTCCCAGCAACCATATGATGGCTCTCAACCATCTGTAATGAGAATATGTATATATAATAAATAGCTAAATCTTTAAAAAAAAAAACATTTTTGACACTTATTTATTTTGTGTGTGTTTGTGAGTGTGTACACCACAGCATGTATGTGGGGATGAGAGGACAACTGGTGTGAGTCAGTTCTCTCCTGCCACCATGTGGGAGTCAGGGATCAAACTCAGGTCATCATGCTTGGCTGTCTTACTGGCCCAACAATTGAGTTTTTTTTTTTTTTTTTTTTTCCAAGATAGTTTCTCTATGTAATCCTGGCTGTCCTGGAACTCACTCTGTAGACCAGGCTGGCCTTCAACTCGTGATCCCCCTGCCTCTGCCTCCCGAGTGCTGAGATTAAAGGCGTGCACCACCACTGCCGGCAACAATTGAGTTCTTAAATATGAAGATCAGGGCCTTATAGAGAAAAACCTTTGTGAGCAAGAGTTAGATAACTCATGAGTCAGAGGCATCCAGAATGGAAATGTTTAAAAGGAAAAGTGGGTTTACAGTGTCAGAGAGCATTTGACTAGCATGCTCAAAGAGCCACTAACTAAATGAATAAACAACTGAAACCTGTCTGTGGGCCTAGGCAAAGCTGGATTAATATGTATCTTTCCGGAGCTGTAAGCCTCTTCCATTCTGTGAATGCTTTTGCCATGAAGAGCAGATTCCAAGGTCAGCTGCTTCTATTAGAGGAAGCAGCCTGTTAGGAACCCTCTGCTGTGTGTAGACTCAGGAACTGCAGAACCCTTGGGGTAGGAAGTAAGAAACACAAAAACAATTCCTCCAAAGAGCCTTCTGCTCAACTTTTGTTTTCTTCCAGTGATGCCATCTGCAATTTTGTCATTTGCAATGATTCCCCCCTTCGAGGTCAGCCTGTTATCTTCAATCCTGACTTTTTTGTGGAGAAACTCCGACATGAGAAACCGGAGGTGTTCACCGAGTTGGTGGTCAGCAACATCACGAGACTTATTGATTTGCCTGGAACGGAGCTGGCTCAGCTGATGGGGGAAGTGGACCTGAAGCTGCCTGGCGGGGCTGGCCCAGCCGCAGGGTTCTTCAGGTCTCTAATGTCTCTCAAGCGGAAGGGTAGGTCTTGTGTCTGTGACGGGCACAGAATTAGCTGCTGATTGGGCTTTACTCTCTTTTTTAAAAAGATGTATTTTAAATGTGTGCTATCTGTTTTGTGCCTGCTTGTTTGTATGTGCGCCAGGTATATGCAGTGCCCATGGCAGCCAGAAGATGGCGTCAGATACCCTGGAAGCGGAGTTACAGGCAGTTGTGAGCTGCCATGCCAGGTCCTCTGCAAGAGTGACAGTATTCTTAACTTGCTGAAGTGGGCTTCCAGGACTGTGCTTTATCCCCTTAACATCTGTACCCTCACTGGGAAGTTGTAATTATCCTAAAGCAGTTTTTGGTCTTTTACCCTCATTTTCATTAGTAGAACTTTAAACAGTAATGATAAAAATTATGAAACTGTCTAGATGAAGAAATACTTAAACCTGGCATGGTGATGCAGATCTTGTAATCCCAGCATTTGGATGGCTGAGGCAAGAGTATCTGAAGTTTGAGGGAACTTGGGCACATTGTGAAATGCTGTCAGAGAAAGAGGAAAATGAGAGGAAGGAGGAGAGGAGAGAAGGGAAGTGGAGGTGAAGAAAAGGGAGGAGGGGAGAGGAGAGAAGATAGAAAATATATTCAGTACCTGACAGAGGATATGGTTAGTTTAGGTAGTTATCAAGGGCATCTTAATTTTCATGCCCTATGAATATTGTACTAAACTAATGTTTTTCAGGTGACCTTCTGTCCTTCCTTTCTTTCTCCTCTCTCTCTCCCTCTGTCTGAGTTGGTATCTCACTCTGTTGTTTAGGCTGGTCTCACTAGGCTCAAGTGATCATCCTGCCTTAGCCTTTAGAGTAGCTGAGACTGCAGAATGCACTGCTCTGGTCAGTTAAAATGATACTAGAGAAAATAAAGTTATATAGCAGGAGAGTACAGTCAAGGAAGCCTGAACAATTTTTTTTGTTCTCCTGAAGATGAACTCATGGCTACATCCATACTAGGCAATCTTTTTACCACCAAGCTACATACTTAACCCTGCAAAAAAAAAAAAAAGACTATAGTTGGATATGGTGGCACACACCTTTAGTCCCAGCACTCAGGAGGCAGAGTCAGGACTATCTCTGTGAATTTGAGGTCAGCCTGGTCTACATAGCAAGCTCCAGGATAGCCAGGACTACATAAAGAGACTCTGTCTCAAAAATTAAAAAAAATAAAATAAAATAAAAAAAGACTACAGTAGTTTGCAAATGTTTTCATTCTATGGACTGCTTTGATAAAGTAGGTTCCTAAAATCATCTTCAAAAAACTTTTCTAGAAGTAAGATGTAGCACTGCTCTGTGTGTGTGTGTGTATGCATATGTATGTATATATAATTTATTCTTTGAGAATTTCATACGTGTATGCAATTGTATTTTGATCCTGTCTGCCTCCTTCCTTCCAACTTCCCCTGGACTCTTCCCGAGTATATCCCCATCTGAGCTTCATATTCTCTTTCCTTCCTTTCTTTCAGTTTGTTTATTTTTAGATAGTATCTCTTATGTAGCCCTGGCTGGCCTGGAACATGCTATGTAGACTAAGGTAGCTTTGAACTCACCAGAGGTCTACCTACCTCTGAAATGAAAAGTGTGTGCCACCCCCCATCCCCCAAAGAGTTTCTCTGTGCAGCTCTGGCTGTCCTGCAACTTATTCTGTAGACCAGAGTGGCCTGGAACTCAAGAGATCTGCCTTCCTCTGCCTTCTGAGTTCTGGGGTTAAAGGCATGCACCATCACTGCCTGGCTTTTTTTCCTTTTTTTTTTTTTGGTTTTTTCAAGACAGGGTTTCTCTGTGTAGCTTTGCGCCTTTCCTGGTACTCGCTTTGGAGACCAGGCTGGCCTCGAACTCACAGAGATCCACCTGCCTCTGCCTCCCGAGTGCTGGGATTAAAGGCGTGTGCCACACCGCCCGGCTTTTTTTCCTTTTTTAAAAATAACCCACAGAGTATAAATTGTGCTGCCTTCATGCACACAGGTATGGGAACATGAGGAATTTACCAGTGGCTGCACACCCAGAGAAAAATGGCTTTCCCTGCCCCAGCAGCCATCAACTGAAATAGCTCCTCAGCTGGGATGGGACCTGTAATGTTGATTGGCTTGATCTTGTGCAGGTCTTTTGCAGATAATCACAGTTGCTGTCAGGTCTTAAGTGTAATGGCTATTCCATGTTCAGAAGAGAGCATTTCACTTTGTTCATCTCCATCCCCAGCTCCTACTTTTTTTTTGTCTCTTTTTGGAGAGAATGTTGATATTGATGTTCCATTTAGGGTTGAATACACAATCAGCTATTCAAGGCACTGTGACCATTATGGGTCTACATTAACTGATGCCCTCTTGGAAAAGAAGGTTTTCTGACTGAAGCTGAGAGCAGCTCACATCTGTAGCATAAACATTTCAAGTCAGTTTGACAGCATGACAATTTAGCAAAACAGTAGTAGTAGGTTGCTCCTGAAGGCCCAGTGGGCCCCCCCAGCCATGGGCTTTTGACCAGGCTAATAGTACCAAGTATGAATTCCCTCCTGTGGAGCAGGCCTCAAAGCCACTCAGGAAGTGTAGAGCACTATTTCTTTTTTTCTTTTTAAGGATTTATGTATTTTTAATGTGCATTGGTGTTTTGCCTGCATGTATGTCTGTGTGAAGGTATTGGATCCCCTGGAACTGGAGTCACAGACAGAAGTGAGCTGCCATGTGGGTGCTGGGAATTGGACCCAGATCTGACAGCGTTTTTGGTGTATTTCTAGTTTTTAGTCTAAATTTTTTTTTTTTTTTTTACTTTTTGTTTACCAATCTTGTGAAAACATTTAATGAAAGTAGAATGCTTGAATGCTTTTAAAGTCATGAACTGGTGAGAAGGCTCAGCAGGTAAAGACATCCACTGCCAGTCTGCTGACCTGAGTTTGAGCCCCAGGACCCACATGGTGGAAGGGAAGAACCATCTTTCGTAAGTTGTCCTCTGAACACCACATGTTTGTCATGCCCTCGTCCCCTGACCAAATAAATATGCGTAGAAAGAATCATTACATTGATGGCCTTGTACTCTTTATGTGATACAGCCCTGTCCTATGATATGTTTTTTCAGAAAAAGGAGTGGTATTTGGATCTCCACTGACAGAGGAAGGCATTGCCCAGATATACCAACTGATTGAATATCTGCATAAAAGTAAGACTACTCAAAGCTTCAGTATTCTGTGTTTAATGAAGAATTGCCAATTTTCCATTGAGAGTTGGCTGATGAGTTAGTAAATGCCAACTACCCATCAACAGAGAAATGAACCACTGATTTTCATGTGGTAGATTTTAAAAATATATTTCCCTTTGAATTTCATGTCCATTATTGATTTGCTTTGCTTTCAAAGATGTAGATAAATTAGATAATGTCTATGAAATCATAATTACCTCTTAGACAATTCTGGAAGAATTCCTTGTACCTAAAGAATTAGGACATTTTTCAAGAAAGCATCATACTTCCATCTTCAGAGTTCTGTGATTAGCATACACTCTTCAGTTAATTCTCGTTTAGTTTTTAGTAGTCCTGTGGGTCGTGCCATCTAAGAGCTCAGCACAGTCAAGAACTTGTAAAATGTGGAGCTTTTTATATGACTTGATACATTTAAATACCAACCAGATGTGCCTTTCTGACTTAGTGGGTGTGATACTGCAGGAGGAGCACGACAGAGATTGTGGACTCACATCTTGAAAGGGTTGGAGGCGTCTGGATCTGTGGGTTTTTAAAAAGGTTTTACATTTTTTTTTTATTTTGGCAAAAGATAGATTAAAAACATAACCAGCCATCAGGGTTTTAAGATGGAGAGAATCCAGGTTTTCAGCTTGTTTGTGTGATGAGAACCCTTGGCTTCCTTCAGCCCAGCTGCTGTGTGGACGTGACCTGCTGGAGCACAGGGATGTGTTGTGCAGTTTGTTGTGGGTCCCATTCATTCCTTTATTGTCACCTGCCTGGCCCTGAAATGGGGGGAATACTCAAAGATGGAAACATGGACAAGCTTCTTCCAGATCAAACAATGTGTCTGTCTATCTGTCTTTTGAGATCTCCTTATGTGAGTTTAGAGCCTAGTTGGATGGGAGCAGCTCATTTGGAGTGACCTAAGCTTTTGGGAGTCTCTTAGCTGCAGAGTGATCTGTTAGAGTCACACAATAATGCAGAGAGTCTAGGTTTATTTTTGGCTGAAGGAAACAGTTTATAGGAACCACAAACGCCCATAGATGAACTCAGCTCCTTGAGAGTCTGTGAGGAACAAGGATAAAGGTCTTGAGATTTGTTTTTCAAGCTTTTTTTTTTTTTTTTTTGGCCTATTGATTTTGTTAAATTCAGTATCCAGTGGTACCTCAGGAGGATGAATGACCTTTGCAGGACCACCTTTCAGTTTGAGTCATCTCTAGGTGCTCAGGGGGCCCAAAAAGGTTTTAAGCTTCCCTAGAAATATTGGCAAAACCTCCTTTATAAAGGGTGCTGTGGAAGGTCTTTAAAGAGAAGCCATGTTTATACTACGTACATTAACCATGATTCTCCTCTGTTCTCTTTTGGCTGTCCATGCTAAGCAGACTTGCGAGTAGAAGGCTTGTTCAGAGTACCAGGCAACAGTGTCCGACAGCAGCTTTTGAGGGATGCTCTCAATAATGGAACCGATATTGACTTGGATTCAGGAGAGTTTCACTCAAATGATGTTGCCACGCTACTGAAGATGTTTCTAGGAGAGTTACCAGAGCCCCTGCTTACCCATAAACATTTCCATGTACACCTCAAAATTGCAGGTGAGTATAAGAAGTGAGAAAGAGATGGAAATATTTTTTTTCAGTTTAGTGAAGTCCTTTGTGAGCTCCTATTGCTTATTACTCACTCTGGTGCTGATACTGGCTCAGACTTCACGATCCTAATGTACTTACAACTCTTGGCTAAGTTTGATTTGATCAGTTACTGTCTTCTTCCTCTTCATCCTTCTCTCTTTGAAACATTTTTTTTTTTTTTTTTTTTTTTTTTTTTTTGGTTTTTTGAGACAGGATTTCTCTGTGTAGCTTTGCGCCTTTCCTGGATCTCGCTCTGTAGACCAGGCTGGCCTCAAACTCACAGAGATCCGCCTGCCTCTGCCTCCCGAGTGCTGGGATTAAAGGCGTGCGCCACCACCGCCCGGCTCTTTGAAACATTTTTTAAAAATTACAATTATTTTGTGTGTTCATGTGCAATGACATGGTATGTATGTGGAGGTCAGAAGACAATTTTTGGGATTCAGTTCTCTTCTACCATGTGGGTCTTGAGGACTGATCTCAGGTCATCAGCCTTGGCAACAAGCTTCTTTACCTTTTGAGACATCTCACAGACTTTAAATGTTTTCCTTTGAAAAAATATTTTCTTAAAAGATTTATTTATTTTTATTTTATATGTATGGGTGTTTTTGTCTGCAAGAGCAACAAGTGCTCTTAACCTCTGAGTCATCTCTAAATCCCCTTAAATGTTTTTGATAAATAAATTTCTTGTTGATTTTTGTATCTCAGATGTAGCCTACCATAGTACTTGGAACATTTCAATTGCTCAATAAAGGTGTGCCTCCCATAGGGTTGGGTGTGTCACTGGGTTTATACCTCTCAGTTGGTTGCTGGTTCTGTGCTTTTGCCTTGGTTTGGAGTTTTTGCAGGTATTTCCATGCCTAAGTTGAGGTCATCTCTGTCTCTGCAAGCTCTTCTTTTAAAAGCGTTATTATTTGCTTATTGAGCAGGCAAATAATACTCAATGGTCATGATGAAAAAGTTTCTCTCCTACCCTATTCCCAGCGCCTGTTCTTCCCAGAGGCAACCAGGACTGTGATGTCTAATGTAGCCTTCCAGAGGTGTTTTGTACACTGTGTGTGTGTGTGTGTGTGTGTGTGTGTGTGTGTGTGTGTGTGTGTATCCTTTTCTCCCTCTGTTTATGTAAAGGCAGAATATTATACACATTGTTCTGTGTTTGCTTTTTCACTTAGTGTATCTTGGAGACTGTTCTATTCTTAGCTCTTAGTTTCCTCATTCTTTGTGTCTATGTGGTAGGGAATTCATTCTTAAATTGCACAGCTATTATGCTACAGTAGGCTCTAAGTGCACACAGTGTCAAAATCCATGCTTAGTTTTCCACCCATGGCATTTCCTTTCTTCCCACCCCCTTTTCCTCCACCCTTCACCTTCTCTGCCTCCCTCTCTCCTTCCTTTCCTCCCTCTCTTTCTTACCCGCTCTGTGAGTCAAATGCTCTTAACCTCTGAGCCATCTCTCCAGCTCTTCAGCTGAGGTTTTTAAAGTCACATTCACTGGTGATTTTAATAGTACAAATGATGATATGTTACTAATATGCATGGAATTTTACAGTTACATTTCAGAGAAATAAAGTTTTAGATCTTTGAAAAAGATTAGAGGCTGGCAGTGGTGGTGCACACCTTTAATCCCAGCACTTGGGAGGCAGAGGCAGGTGGATCTCTGTGAGTTCGAGGACAGCCTGGTCTACAGAGCGAGTTCCAGGACAGGCTCCAAAGCTACACAGAGAAACTGTGTCTTGAAACAACGAAAACAACAACAACAACAACAAACCCAAGCAAACAAAGAATGAAAAAGATGAGAAAGTATAAATGTTATTTTATGTGTTAACATGTAGAGTATTTGCTTTATTTGCCTTCCCGCTGAGCTCCTCATTTGGTACAGTGTCTAACATCCTCTACTGTGCTGCCTGGTGACTCAATGCTCTTGAGAACATGGGAAGGTGTGGCACAGTTGGAGAGGAGTCATCCTGTGCATGATTCCCTCTGACTTACCCTTTAGCCACAACCTATCCGACTAGGGAAGAGGAGAAGGGCTGACATTGTCAGAGATGCTTGTGGACTTGATTGTAATTCTTTTGAGTAGTGCTGGGACATAATTGTAACTAACTTTTTGAGGCACTGCCCAGATGTTTTCCAAAGTGTTTACACTAGGGCTGGAGAGATGGCTCAGTGGTTAAGAGTACTGGCTGCTCTTCAGAGGACCCTGGTTTGACTCCCAGCATCTGCTTGGTGGCTCACAACAATCTCTATCTGTAACTCCAGTTCCAGGGGATCTGATGCCCTCTTCTGGCCTCAGTGGGCAGTGCACATACATGGTGCACAGCCTTACATGCAGGCAGAAGACCCATATAGATTTAAAAAAGACCCAAAGTGATTACACCATTTAACACTCCCACCTGCAGTAGAAGGTTTAGTGCTCATGTTCCAGTATTTGTATTGTCAGTACTTTTGTTCAGCTCATCCTAGTAGATGTAAAGTAGTATCTTGTGGTTTTCCTGATAGATGATTCAAGCATGCTCAGGCTTTCTGACCCCTCGTATGACGTCTCCCTTCTCTCCTTTCTCTTCCTTTCCCCCTTTTCTTTACATTGACCATGCGTTGCTAAATTATGTTATACTCGCAATCCTTCTACCTCAGTCTCCTAAGTAGCTAGAACTATAGGTGTGTGTCATCATGCCTGGCTTGTGTGTGTTATTTTCTTGGAAGGAATATCTATTCAGTGTTTTTTGCTTTTTGCTTGTTTTTGTTATTTCTTTGAGATAAGGTGCCACTATATGTCTCAGGCTGCCTCTCAGCCTCCTGAGTGCTAGGCACACAGGTGTATGTCACCACACTTAACCTACTTATCTCTTTCCCATATCTTAAAATTGGATTGTCTTTAGTTATTGAATTAGATTGACATAGTATTTGTTGTGTTTTGCATTTTCTTTCTTGTGCCGGGGTCATGCTATGCCTGCTAACATGTTCATAATCACACAGGAAGTACTTTGCAAAGCCCATTGCCTATTTCATTTCATTTTATTTTTTACAGTGTTGATATTTGAATGTAGGATCTTCCTAAGGTATTAGCAGTTTTGAATTTCCTTTATAATGGATTCTTTTATTCCTTCTCTTTATTTGATGGGTCTGAGTGGAAAATAATAATAAGTAGCATTGACTTTTCTTTGGCTTATTCCTTCCTTTTCATTATTATTTTTTAAGATTTGATGCAGTTTGATGATAAAGGAAATAAGACCAGCATACCAGACAAGGAGCGGCAGATTGAGGCCCTGCAACTGCTTTTCCTCATCCTCCCTCCAGCCAATCGGAACTTGCTGAAGTTACTGCTTGATCTCCTGTATCAAACAGCGAAGAAGCAAGACAAGAATAAGATGTCTGCCCACAACCTTGCCCTTATGTTTGCACCCCATGTCCTGTGGCCCAAAAATGTTAGTATTGAGGGAAGATCTTCAGGGGTTGGCTTTCTCAGGCTGGGCCCCTCCTGTGGTTGTACATAGTGAGGTTATCAAGGATCCAAGGTCCAGCCTTCATATTTATGAGGTTAGGAGTTTAGGAGTCATTAAAGCTGAGGGGCCTGGTTCTTGTAACCTCACTGATACGTCAGTCTCCAGTGACCCTGCATGGCTACTTCTTTCTGGAACATTCTAGCTGCTAAAGAAGCTAGAATATTTGTTTTGGCTAGACAGTGTGAATCCCATCTTAATAGGAATGTTCCTGTGTAAATCAGGTTGATTTCTAATGATTGAAGGATTAATACAAATTGATTTCTAAAGGTTTAGAATAGAGTAGTGTGATCATGTGACAATGCAATCTAGCCCGTTCCTATGGTTTTACTCCATATATTCAGTTTCCTTTCATAAAACTAAGTGTGCTTCTTACTGGGGTCGTGGCCTCATTACTGGCTTACATTTTCAAATAGTCTGTTAAACAAATGTTTGACCTGAACACATGAAGCTCAGGTTCCCACCTCTTCACAACACAGGCTTTGATAGGAGATGAGATTATGAGTAGTTTATCTGGGTTGGAAACTACAGCCCAGATCTGTTACCTGTTTCTTTATACTTTCTATGTCCACTGGGCAGGGAGTAGCTGTTACCAGTTACCTCATGAGTTGTTAGAAAGACAATAGAACAGATTGTTACAGTGACCAGGGGGAGGTTTTTGAGAGTATAAGAAATAAGGAGCTGGGCAGTGGTGGTACATGCCTGTAGTCCCAGTACTCAGGAGGCAGAGGTGGGTGGATCTCTGCGTGTTTGAGGCCAGCCTGGTCTATAAAGCAAGTTTCAGGACAGCCAGAGCTATTACACAGAGAAACCCTGTCTTGAAAAACCAAAACCAACCAACCAACCAACGAAACAAACAAACGAAGAAACAAGGAAAGGAAAGTTAAGGAGAGAGGTTATATGTAATATTTTATCTTAGTAAGTAACAAGTCAAAATTAATGAACTGCTCTGAAAAGCCAGGGGTGGGTTAATGGGAAGCAGATACACCGACAGTTATCTACATCAAGGAGCTCAAGTCTCATGGTGAAGGCTTTTGAATTAGCTAACCAAGTTCTAGAGGGTTAGGCTTGAAGCCTATCCTCAGAGTATGTGCTATAGCCTGGGCTTGACCCCTCCCAAACAACCAACTGAGATAAAACCTTCAGTGCTGTGGGAAAGAAACAAGCTGTGGTTATAAAAAGAAGCATGTGTGAGGCCTTGGGAAGAGCAAACAGATGAAATAACAAGGATGAAGGCATGGCATATAGACATGCTGAAATGCTTAAGAAGGCAAGAGAAACGAGAAGGGGTCAATGGCAGTTTGACTGTATTGTAGAAAGATGTCAGCTCCAGTAGTGTTAGTAGACGGTTCTCTGGATGAACGCCTCAATCTCTGCAGAGCCAGTCTCTTGGATGGCTAGTACAGACTGTGGCTTTTCTGCTGTGTGTGTTTTGAATCCTAGGTTAGATTTTCTGCTTAGATGTCTGTGAGCAGAAGTAGGAAATGAAGAAAGCTTAAGGATTTCCTGGTCACTTTAGGGACACACATCTGTGCTATTACGTCATTTCAAGTGGAAACTTGCTAACCCAAAGTGACGAAGTACTGTTGAGCACTTCCCAGTTCTTAATGCCCTTTTTTTCCATCTCTTTCCACTGACTAGGTCACTGCTAATGACCTTCAGGAGAATATCACAAAATTAAATACTGGGATGGCTTTTATGATCAAGCACTCCCAGAAACTTTTTAAGGTAGGTAAGGGATAGCATTTGGCTAGTAACAGGACAAGGAAGATGGGGACAGAGTAGGATCCTGGAGGAGAGGCGTTTGGGATTGTAAAGCATAATGGGTGGTGGGAGGGCTAGAAATGGGAGCCAAGGCTTCTCTGTGCTCTGGCTAGCTGGTGGTTGCCAAGTGTGACCTTGCCTGCCTACCACAAAAACCAAGTTTTGTAGTTTCGCAGCCCCTTTTCATGCCATACTGTCTCTTGCAGCCCAAGTAGGCAGTGTTTCTGGGGGATAAGTTTCTCAAGAAATGTGTACATCTTGTGTAGATTTCATGGCTTTAGTCTGTTACACAAAAGCCACATGTGCTAATATTTGAAAGTGAAGTCCTCTACTTTGGTTTTCTGCTGAACAGCTGAGCTGCAGTGTCTTGAGTTTCCTAAAGGCCCCCTGCTTCAGGGAGAGGATCCCAGCTGTCCTGCAAAAAGGACCTTTTTAGATTGCAGCCCTGACCCACTGCTGTTGCTAAGCATTTAGAAATGGCCCTGCAGGCACATCTTGGTCATTAGAGTGTACTTCCTTGATAGGGAATCTTTTGTCCTCTAGAGAGGATGAGAATATCTAAGAGCACCACCTAGTTTTGGTCCCCTCTTTTCTTTTATTTAAAGTAAACTTTATTATTAAAAAAACCCTTGCAAGCCCAGCGTGGTGGCACAGACTTTTAATCCCAGCACTCAGGAGCCAGAGCAGGTAGATCTCTGAGTTTGAGGCCAACCTGGTCTACAGAGTGAGTTCCAGGACATCCAGGGCTACATAGAGAAACCCTGTCTCAAAAAAAACCAAACCAAACCAAACTAAAACAACAACAATAAAAAAACCTTTGCAAATAAAGATGTCACACACCAAAATTAACCCAAAGTCTATACAACTTAATGAACTTGTTTACAGTTAGAATTGGCACTTGAAATGGAATCTGTGAAGCTTCATGTTTCATTTTTTCACTCTCAGGATTGATTATATTTTATGCACTTATCCACCACACAAACCAACAATCCACGACAGAGTTAGAACTGAAAAGCAATTCGTTTACATCCTCTTCCATAACTCATGTCTACCACCTGTGTTCAGGCCTTCCTCACTCACTGTTAGCCTTCTTCCCTTTTGTTCATGTTATACTGCATCCACATACGCACTTGTTTACATATACATATATTATATACGCCTAGACTCTGCATATGAGAGTACATGTGCTTTATTTCTGAGTGTGACTTAATATTATACATTCTAAGTCCATCCATTTTCCTGCCAATTTTTAACCTCATTTTTCTTTAAAGCTAAGTAGTAGTCTATTTTTTTGTATATATCAAATTTTCACTATCCATTCACCCATTGATAGACAACTAGATCAATTCCAATTCTTTGCTATGTGATTAAAACAGCAATCAATATGGGGTGCAACTGTTGGATGGGGGTATGGAGTTCTCTGGGTGTGCATGTCCAGGAGTGAAATAGTTGGGTCATATGGTAGATTTTTTTTTAATATTTTTAGTTTTTGTCTTTTTATGACTGACTGACTTACTCAGCATAATGTCTTCAAATTTATCCACAGAGTAGTATGTGACAGCTTTTCCTTTCTTAAGGCTGTATAGTATTCCATGTGTATATATTCATGTCCTCCTAATCTATTCATATATGAATAAACATTTAGATTGCTTCTATGGTTAAGCTGTTGTGAGTAATGCTGCTGTGAACATGGATGGTTAAACATTTCTTAAAGTCCTGCCTTTATTCTTTTTATTTTTGGTTTTGGTTTTTTGAGGTTTCTCAGAGATCTGCCTGCCTTTCCCTCCTGAGCATGTGCCACCACTGCTTGGCTTCTGCCTTTATTCTTTTTGGTGTATTTCCTAGATCGTATGGTAATACTTTTTAAGTGTTTTTGAGAAACTGCCACACTGTTTCCCATTTCTCCTAATTGCAGAGTAGGATCCATGTCCTTAACAACCCCGGTTTTCCTGATACTATTTTCTGATTGTTGTTGTCCTAGTGGATGTGGGATGGGTCTCACTGTGGTTCTGATGTCTGTAGAGATGGGTGATATGGAACATTTTTTCATATGTCATAGTTACTTTTGTTCTATTGCTGACAAGACACAATGGCTAAGGCAACTTTTTGATTTTTTTTTTGTTGTTTGTTTTATTTGTTTGTTTTTTTTAGAGACAGAGTCTCTCTGTGTAGCTCTGACTGTCCTGGAACTCATTATGTAGACCAGGCTGGCCTCCAACTCACAGAGATCCACCTGCCTCTGCCTCCCAAATACTGGGATTAAAGGTATGCACCACCAAGCACAGCTAACCAAGGCAACTTAGAAAAGAAAGCATTTAATTTAGGCTTATGGTTTTAGACAGTTAGAGCCTATGACGGCAGAGCAAAGGCATGGCAGCAGGAGCAGCTGAGAGCTCCCATCTTGATCTGCAAGCGGGAGGCAGAGAGAAACACTGGGAATGGTCTGTATTTTTATGTTGGCTCACATGAATGCCACATGTTGTATTGGTTTTTTAAAACATCGGCAACTGCAGTGGTGTCTTTCTAGTTTCCCATTAGATCTGTTGAGGTGCCTATTTGGTCAAATATGGTATTTTGGCAAGTGTTTGGCTTTCCACAGTAATCTGTCTGTTAGATAATATTATGATTCTCTTTCTGTGGCCTGAAAGAATTGGAGTCCTATTAACCACTGAGCCCTGGTTTTCTTTCATGTCCTACTCAGGCTCCTGCTTATATTCGGGAATGTGCCAGATTGTACTATCTGGGCTCCAGAACCCCAGTGTCAAAGGTAATAACAGGAAACTGGTCTTCAAACAAGGGAAGGCTTAAGATTAGTGAAGTTTTAAAACAAAGTGTAACATCATCATTAAGCCATTGTTTTTAATGTTACAGCTCAAACTTACATAATCATTTGTTTTAGCAGGGACAGAGACTAAGAAGAAAGTTGTGGAATTAAAATGCCCCTATGTATAATATGCTTGCTTGTTTGCTTTCAGAGGTCCTCACTGGTGGATGATATACTCTACATTAGTGTCATGACAGATCTTAGGTTAAAGTTTTTCATAAGATGCATTGTATTTTTATAGCCTATGATCTAAGCAACCTGTAAATATCAAATACATTATAGTAACAGAGGTCCAGTATTATATAATTAATTCTTTTTTAAAATTTTAATTTAATTAAAATTTTTATTTTATTTTATGTGTGTGTAAGTTTACCACTTGTGTGCAGTAGCCTATAGAAGTCAGAAGGTGGTGTTGGATCCTCTGGAACTTGAGTTACAAGTAACTGTGAACTGCCATATGTGTCCTGGGAATCAAATCTAGGTCCTCAGAAAGAGCAGCCAGTGTTTTAAACTACTAAGCCATATCTCCAGTCCTAATTTAAATTTATTTATTTATTTATTTATTTATTTATTTATTTATTTATTTACTTACTTATTTATTTATGTGTGTGTGTGTGTATGTGGTGGTAGTAATGGTGGTGGTGGTAATGTTGGGTCTTGGATCTTGGTTTGAGTCCAGGGTCTCTCTGTGTAGCTCTGACTATCTTGAGACTGGCTATATAGAACAGACTGGCCTTGAACTTAAAGAGATCTGCCTGCCTCTGACTCCACCATGCCCAGCCTTTAATTTTTACTTATGTGTATGGGTATGTGCATGGGTGCCTCCCACGTCTGTCAGGACAATCTCTGACAGATATAGCCACAGGCCAGCCTGATTAAGGCAATTCCTCAGTGGAGGTTCCCTTTTTCCAGTGACTGTTGGTTGTGTCAAGTTGACAATAAAAGTTAGCCAGCAGCATATGAGCAAATGAGCTTAGAGAAATATATGATGCTATTAACAGAAAGTTATGTAAGAGTATTGAGGATGTATTAATTTGCTTTTTTATACATTTTTCTGTAGGATGATCTTGATCTGACGACCTCTTGGCATGGCATGTCCTTCCAGCTGGCAAGATCTCAGAAACGGAACAGGTTCGATTCTTGTTCTCAACAGGAGGAGACCCAGCAGCATACAGAAGAGGCCCTGAAAGAACTCTTCCAGCATGTTCATAACATGCCAGACTCAGCAAAGAAGAAGCAGCTTATCAGACAGGTGCCAGGATGGGGGAGTGGGGTGGGCTCTGGGAATCCCCAGAGAGCAGCTAAGATCTCACTTGGGTTTCACTCTCACTGGGAACAAGCTTTGGCCCAGCCAAAATAGCAGACTGGTCCATGGAACCACAATACACTCCTGTCCTGGAGAGAGGTGTGCAAGTGCTTGGCTTTCTGAAATTAACTGTGCTTAGAATATCTCCAAGTTTGCTTAGAGAGAACCAACAGTTTCAATGGTCCAGAATTGAAATGCTCTATGTTTTCTAGGTAAATAATTTAATTTCTGAATTTCAACTTTCAGGTTTGCACAACAGTAATAGTTACATGCCTGTGTCACACTTGTGAAGGTGGAGAGGATGGGCAGAATGGCTGGTAGAGCGGAAGTGGTAGCTCTTCCTGATGGAATTGTTTGCAGTTAGGAAACACCATAAAACAGTCTCAAGTATATTGAACAGGAATTCTGGTGTCTGAGTTTGCTTCTTTTGGGGTTTTGGAAGTAAGATTAGGCCTTTCATTTGCCATTTTGAGGACTCAAAGCATAGTGTGAATGAATCCTTACTGCTTGGGAGTTTCTTGGGAAATTCGTCTCAGTCCCACTTGAATTTTAGTTGCATAGGCAAGGTCAGTGCATTTTATTCAGTTTTCCCTTCCTGTACAAACTCCCAGGATAATCAACATGCTAAAGGAAGGAGGAACGCTTGAAGCACAGTTGTGGAAGTTTCTGTCCATAACTGAGTGGCCCTGTTCCTGTTGGGCCTGTGGGAGGTTTGACATCATGGCATCAGCATGTATAAGGGCAAAACAGTGTATCTCATGGTCAGGGGCTATAGTACTCTTTGAGGGCATGACCCCAGTGAACCAAGACTTCCCAGTAGGCCCTTCCATAGGATAGATACCTTCCACCCCTGACCCTAGACCTGGCTTTGGAGGACACTGTAGACCCAAGTACAGCAGTCAGCTTTTTAAATTTCTTGTTCAGTTAGTACTTTCTTTGAGTGAGGTTGCCTTTATTTATTTTTTGGGCATCTCCAGCATAGGGCAAGATATAAAAAAGTATCAGATAATGTTGGAAACTGAGCTGTTCTCAGCAGTTGACAAGGTCCTTTATAAGTGTTTTGTTGTGGCCTTAGAGATGGTTTAGGACTGCAGAATTTGAGTGTGGTGTCATATGTCTATAATCCCAGCAGTAGGGAGGTGGAGACAAGCAGATCCCTGAGTTCAGTAGCCTGGTCTACATAGTGAGTTCTAGGACAGCCAGAGCTACACAGTGAGACCCTGTCACAAAACCAAACACACACACACACACACACACACACACACACACACACACATCAGTAACTGAGAGCATCGGCTAAAGACTATACACTAACTTACTAACTTGTGTCTTCCCTTTTTCTCCTGGAGATGCCTCCACACAAAGCGCTGTCTGCATTAAAAGTTTGCATTTAGTCTCTTTCCCTTCACAGTATTGCTGGTGGATGGTTAGAGAGCCTTAGGAACATTCTGTACCTTAGGAACATTCTGACTTAGGAATGTAGCTCACTTGATAGAGGGTTTGCTCTATATTCATGAGGCCCTGGGCTGGATCTCTGACACCTCATAAACTGGGTATAGCCTTCTAGCTTTATAATGTCATGACTTGGAAGATGGAGGCAGGGAGATTAGGAACTAAAAGTTGTTCTTGGCCATACAGAGAGTTGAGGCCAGCCTCTGCTACATGAGATTGTACCTTAAAAAATTAATCCTGGCATACAATTTGTTAAACCGAGCACTGTCATGGGTTGTGCTAGTAACTTTCCATTTCCAAGGTACTTGATGCAAAACTAATTCTGGTTTACTGTCAGATCTTAGAGCAGTTCATAAGCATTCTGGATCTTGGTTTACTGTCTGTAAACAGGGACAGTGAATGTCACTTCTGCTTTTGTGATTGCTTATCAACCTACTCTCTACATCTACACAGACTGTGGCTTTCTGGGTATCTACATTCAGCTGTTGCTTGCCTTAGACTGTCGTTTCTTGATGGGACAATATTAATCAAATGTACTCTGTATTTTCTTGTAGTTCCATAAGCAGTCTTTGACTCAGACACCAGGGCGAGAGCCTTCCACTCCCAGGGTCCAGAAGAGAGCCCGTTCACGCTCCTTTAGTGGGCTTATTAAGGTGAGCCGGCTGCGCTACTGCTGTCCACATCACTTCTTAGGACACGTGTGTCTTCTTTGCTTGTGCACAAACAGCTTAATTCTATTCCTTAGAGTTCTACAAAGGTTAATTGGTGAGGGGACAGAGTTTGGAAAGGCTTTTTTCCAAAGCATTCTACTGTGTCACAAATGGAAGGAACTCTGTAGGGAAAGCAGCAGCAGCCTTCCCTTCTTCCCGTGTCTGGGGATAGGAGTCTCTTGCTTCCTGCTTCACACTACACACTTTTTTTTTTCTTCCTGAGACAGGGTTTCTCTGTCTAACTCTGGCTGTCCTGGAACTTGCTTTGTAGACCAGGCTGGCCTTGAACTCACAGAGATCCACCTGCCTCTGCCTCCCGAGTGCTGGGATTAAAGGTGTGCACCACCACCACTGCCTAGGCACACTACACACTTCTTTATTCGGTTCGCTACATGTGTGGGGAAGTGAGCAAGCTGAGGACTAGGGAAATTGTTGGACAAATGGATTTTCTAATACCCCAGTGAATTTTGATATCTTTAATTTTGGTGAACTTAATGATTTCACTGTTGTTTTAGTCTCTTTTAATGTGTCAAAATGATTAGGAATCTTGTTTTTTGAACTATTAGAAAGTCTGTTACTGTGTTGTTGCTGCTGTGTATGCAGATGGCTGAACATGAGTGCAGTTCGTGAATGTTGCCATCAGATGGCAGTAGGTGATTTAATGGTCCTAGGCTCCTCATTTCAATGTCTAACTAAGGCGGGCTAATTCAACCCAGGGATTAGCTCTGGTCTTAGTTCTACTTTTCTTTTAAAAATTGTTTTAACATTGTTAAAGTATATAATTCTACAGATATCAAGAGCCTTTTGACTAAAACTTACATTTTTTCTCTAACAAATGTGTGCCTTTACATTTTCTCCGCTTTATGCTGAAGTCATCAGCAGTTGCACTTCCACTCGGCCCTAACTTTGATCCTTTTTGTGTTTTGTAGAGGTCTAGAATCCATTCTTCATCCTCATGGATGGGGCCAGTGGCCTTTGGGACATGACACTTGCTGTGGAGAGTTTCCTTTGCTATCCACAGTGGAGTGAAAAGGCAATTTGTGGGACAGGAGAGAATAGTTGAAAGTCATGGATCTGGTTAGGAGATACTATCCAGAAAATAGTAGGAACTTGTCTAGCTCAAAATTACTGAAAGTCCAAGCTCATTTTAAAACAGGCAAATACCCAGGCAGTGGTGGCGCAACCTTTAATCCCAGCACTCGGGAGGCAGAGGCAGGCGGAGCTCTGTGAGTTCGAGGCCAGCCTGGGCTACAGAGAGAGATCCAGGACAGGCTCCAAAGGTACACAGAGAAACCCTGTCTCAAAACCCCCCCCCCAAAAAAACCCCCAAAACCCCAAAACCCAAAAACCAGGCAAATAACCAGAATAGACATTTCTCTCAAGACACACATGTGACCAGGAAAGACAGGAAAAGGTGTTCATCATCATAATCATTAGGGGCATGTAAAGTGAACTCGCTAGGGTGACTACTGTCCACAAAACAGAAAGTTACAAATGTCGACGAGGATGTAGGGAAATGAAAACCCTGTACACTACTGCTAGGAATATTAAACGGCAAAGCTGCTGGGGAAACAGTATGGCGGTCTCTCAGAACTCAACACTAGGATTACTTTATGACCCACCCATTTCAGTTCTGTGTATATACCAACAAATTGAAAGCAGGGGCTCAGGGAGTCATTTGTATATCAGGTTATTCATCCTCAGAAAGGATGGAGAGTCTGATGCACTCCTCACTCTGTGGGCCCTGAGGACGTGACGCTGCGTCATATAAACCAGTCACCAAAGGCCAAATGTTGGACAGTTCTGCTTATTTGAGGTACTAAAGTGGTCAAAGTCATGGAGACAGGAAATGATTTGTGACTCCTGGTGGCCTGAGGTATGGAGGGAATGAGGCGTTATCTTTTGTTTAGGAGGGATAGTGTGGGGATGGGTGAGCTGGCAGTGTTTTATGACACTGTGACTGGAGTAATGCCACTGAAATATCCACTAAGTGGAGAAGGTCATAAACTTGATTGTAGTTAAGTTCTTTTCTTTTTCTTTTTGAGACAGGGTCTCACTATGTAGCTCTGGCTACATATAAGTGTTCCTGTAATTGAAGTTGGAGTGATGTGATTTTGTGTTTTGGCTTGAAGTGTATTGGTAGTTATTGTTTGAAATGTAGGTGGTGGTGTCTGTTTGGCTATTACTTACCTCTGTACTAAGGGAGTACTTGAACTTCAGAAGTTATCAGGATGAAACATTTTAGAATATTATCATTTTTTCTTTTTTTGGTGGCAGCTGTCAGCTGAATCCAGGGCCTCATACCTGTGAGCAAGCACTCTGCCATTGTGCTACATCCCAAGCCAACAACAGCTTCAAACACCGAGGTTATAATAGCAAATTTATAAAACAGGGGTGAGATGTTTTCATTATAAATGAAGAGATTTTTGAACTGATAGAAGATATAGGCATTTTGCTCAGTAGCTCTGCAGTGAAGTAGTTAAGTACTCTTTTTATTTGTGATTGGTGCTGGGGCCTTACACATGGTAGGTCCAATCCAGAATGCCCTTTCAAAAATTCACTGGAAGCTCTATAGCTAGTCTCATGGATCCTGCCGTTCTCTGTTCAGCATCTTCAGTGATTCCTGCCTTCTAAGGGAGGATCTGCAGGCCTTATTTTTCTAGCATTTGTGTGTGTGTTTTAGCTATTTGGTTCCTTTAAAAAAACAGCTATTTGGCCGGGCAGTGTTGGTGCACGCCTTTAATCCTAGTACTCGGGAGGCAGAGCCAGCCTGGTCTACAGAGCAAGATCCAGGACAGGCACCAAAACTACACAGAGAAACCTTTTCTGGAAAAATCCAAAAAAAAAAAAAAGCTATTTGATTTCTATCTAAAACTTTGGAAGCTGGAGAGATGGCTCAGCAGGTAAGAGTACTTGCTGCTCTTCCAGAGGACCAGAGCTCAGTTCCCAGCACCCACCTTGGGCAGCTTACACCTGCCCACAAAACCAGCTCCGGTAGATCTGATTGCTCTCTGCAGTCACCTGTACTCACATGCGCATATGTGTGCACACACACAAATAAAAATAAAATAAAATCTTTAAAAAAATTAAAACTAGTGGAATTTTGCTTTTCTCCCAGTTTTACAGAGTGTGTCTGACAGTGGGTCCTGCATTGACCTCTTGCTTTGGAAGGTTTTCCTCTGGAGTAGTATGTCGTGTAAATAGTTGATCAATCACATCAGGATATTCTGGACCCCCTGTCGATAGATATAATGTAGACTTTAATGCTTTAGTTTTTCAGTTCTGTTGAATAGTTTTTCTTTGTTGTTTTAGTTTTGATAATATTCTTGTTTTGGAATTCAGACTTATTCTGCAGGGAAGATGAGGGCTTCTCTAAGAGTTGTTACCATGAGCTGCTGCAGCAGGTCGCATCAGCTTCCAGGCCGTTGAGAAGACCTTGTATTCTTGCTCTTTGTGTCAATGGTCATGTGGCCCCCTGAGAAGGCCTGGAGCCTTTTGTGGCTGTATTAGGAATTCTTAGACTATTTCTGCACATTTACTAGTCATGTGTGAGGAGGACAGAGAAGCAGAATCCTAGAGTCGACCCAGTCTGTGATTCCCTAGTGGGGAGAGGAAGGGACCCTTAGCAGCTGCCAGAGAGCACACACCTTCCACAAACCCCTCAACTCCAAAAAGGTCCAGCCCTTGAGAGTGACTGGTCTTTCTTTCATGCTCACAGATGTACTGCTATTAGCTAATATCAGGTAGGTTAAATCACCAGAGAAACAGTAATTCTTGTTTGCTATGTGCCTTCCCCTTCCTTGTATGATATAGCCTGTGTCTGTGCAGAAGTTATCAGGATGCTGAGTGTTTTCATTGAGGAAGTTGTAGTTTTAAAGACTAGTACAGCTACAAAATAGTAAATGCTAATGAACAAAATATTTTCCATTTCCCAATCAGCGCAAAGTCCTGGGCAATCAGATGATGTCAGAAAAAAAAAACAAGTCCCCTACTCCAGAGTCTGTGGCCATGGGTGAACTGAAGAGAGTCAGCAAAGAGAATGTGAGCTTGGTAAGAACACGTTCTTCCCTGTCCTCTTGTGGAAGGCCAATAGGCTGGCGCTTGTTCTACTGTGATGCTCTGGCTCAGTCAGCAGTACTCAGGGCCTTTTCTGTAGGTTTTCACCAAATCATTTAATGTGTTTTGAGTTCAAGAAAGGTACATCATGTGTATTAATGTCCTTTCTGTTGCCGTGATAAACATTGACCAAAACTCAGGAAGAAAAGGGTTTATTTAGCTTACAGCTTACGTCCATCATGGAGGGAAGTCATTGCAGGAACTGAAGCAGAGGCCATGGAGGAGCACTGCTTACTGCCTTGCTCTCCATGGCTCACTAAGCTGCTCTCTCTCTCTCTGTCTCTCTCTTTTTTTTTTTTTTTTTTGTAGAACCCAAGGCTATCTGCCTGGGGGGCATCCCCACAGTGCCTGTGCCCTTCTACATCAATCATTAATTAAGAAAATGCCCCATGTGCTTGCCTACAGGCCAGTCTGATAGAGCAATATCTCAGTTGAGGGTCCCTCTTCCCTGATGACACTTGTGTCAAGTTGATTAAAAAAAACCAAAAACTAACCAGCACAGCTGGTTACAAGTACAGATGGCCAATCCAGCACAATGGCTCTGTAAACAAGTGCTGAAGGGTCAGTTAATTCGTAGCAGAATGTCAAGGGCACAATAGCATTTAAGTCCTTCAAGGTAGCCTAGGCTGTTTCAGTAAGCTAACATTAGCCAGTAGAGATTGGAGAGGTATAACTTAGGTCTCTGTGAAGAAGCACTGACATTTGACCATTTAAGCCACTGTACACTTTTCTCATTACAGTTTTTTTCTGGCTCTCCGACTGTCACAATGACACCAACCAGATTGAAATGGTCTGAGGGGAAGAAAGAGGGGAGAAAAGGTACTCACTGTCATTGTCCTCTGTTCTTACTGGATGCCTTCTTGTCTGTGTCTCCTCGGTCAGCAGTGGTTCTTGTTGGAATGTCCAAGGTGCTCTAGTTGTAGTCAGAGGGAATTGAGATGGTTATTCTATTTAGCACTGTCCTCAGGCACTGACCCACTGCATAGACAAGACCCACACATCAGCTGTTTTAAGAATACTCTTTAAACCAGGTGGGACAAGTACAAAAGCCATGTGAGGCCGAGAATGGCCATGCCCAGAGTCCACTCAATCATGTTCCTCTTCTGTGCAGACTTTAGACCTGGTCACCAAAGCTTTGCTTTGCTTTGCTCTTCTTTTCTCTTCTTTCTTTTTCTAAGACACGGTTTCTCTGTGTAGCCTTGACTGTCTGGAACTCACTCTGTAGATCAGGCTGGCCTCGAACTCAGAGATCCACCTGCCTCCTGAGTGCTGGGATTAAAGGTGTATGCCACCACTGTCCAGCATCACTGAAGTTTTTCTGATGCAGAAGGACCTTGGAAATCATGTCAGCATGGTTTTGAAGCTATTTACTTCAGAGAGGATCATTTATTTATTTATCTATCTGTTTAGCTGTTTGTTTGTTTGTTTGTTTATTTATTTGGTTTTTTTGAGACAATGTTTCTCAAAGAGAGAGAGGATCTTTTTATTTTTAAAGATTTATTTATTTATTGTGTATACAGTGTTCTGCCTGCATGTATGCCTGCAAGCCAGAAGAGGGCAACAGAGAGAGAGGATTTTTTTAATGCCAAAATCACTGTTCTGAGTTCTGTTAAAAAGCTGCTGTGGGCAGGCATGGTCCTGCACAGTTGAAATCTCTGCACTCAGGAGGGATGGCAGGAGGATTTCTGGAAGTTCAGTTACTACTTGATATATGAGCAGTAGAAAGAGTACAAGTGTGTTGGCCATGAAGCTCAGTGGTAGAGCACGTGTGAGGCCTTGGGTCCCATGCCCATCACAACAGAGTCATCGTGATGAAGCCTTCTTCTTTTCTAGGAAATTAGGCTGTAGTACGCTATTCTCATCACTTTGATGAGTGCCCGAGCCCGCTTCTCTTCCTCCCTTTCTTTTGCACAGAACTGTGCTATTGAAGCAAGCTCAGGGTTTGAGTTACTCATATTCAAATATTTTTTAAATGGCCACGAATCAAAGCATGAGTTAGTTTTTTAAAGACTATGCTATTTTGTATCAATTGTGCCTTTTGTTACTTTCATTTTTAAAGAGAAGCAGAAAACCATTTCTTATCTTGACAACTCTGTTTTGGAAAGAAAGGAAGGAGTTTCTTCAGGAGAGTAGCAGCCCACAGATCATGCATGCCGTTTTGGTGGATGAGGAATGGCATCCTCACATGTCAGGACCCTCCTCCTCTTTGGGCACCGTAGCCTGCTGTCCTGACAACACCACTCTTGTTGTATTCCTCTTTAAGCTCTCCCTGTTTACTGTGGTTTACTGTGGTCTGCCGGTCTCTCGGTTCTGTCTGTTTTATTTAGTTTGTGTGGTGATGGGTTTGAATCCAGGGCTTCACACATGCCCTACTACTGAGCTACATTCTTAGGCAGTCCCCTTCCTTTCTTAAAGAGTTTCTTCCTCTTTTGAGACATGGTTTCTTTTAGGTTTTTGAGGTTGGCCTTAAGCTTGCGCTCTTCTTACTTCTGCCTCCTGAGTAGCTGGGATTATAGGCATTATATAGGATTGTATACCACCACATCTGGCTTGTTTTTGGCTGAGTTAAATTTTCTACTCTTCTCTCTTGCATTTTGCCCTTCTTAGCACCTTGATCTGCTTCCACAGTTCACTCCCAAATAGCATTGTTAGATCTGAACTCTCCAGTCTCCAAGCTTGCGGCTCAGGAGCCTGCCTGCCATGTATCTGTCTTGCAGAACAGTGGATACAATCCTAGCTGTTGACACTGATGTTGAAGTCACCCCCAGAAGAAGATAGTGCACTGTCACTGTCACCATCAATAGCATAATGGAGACTTCTGTTTGGCAAAGGGCTTCTTATTCTGGCCACTGTTGACACTTTGGGTCATAGTTCCTTGGGTGGAGTGGCCTTGTGCATTGGTGATATCTAGCAGCTTTGATCCCGTACATGCCACAAGCATCCTGCCCTCAGTTATGATAACTGAAAGTTCCTCCAGACATTACCAGTGTCCCTTGAGGATACAGGGGCAAAATTACCCCAGATGAGAACACATGATGGAGAGCACCCACTCGTCAAGGAGCATTCTTTTCAGTAGTCACATCTTTCTAATTCTTCAAAGTCCAACTGAACCTTCCCTCGCTCTCCTCTTTGAAGCCTTCCTACCTGAGCCAAACAGAGTACTTTTCCATTGAATCTTGTCAGCACTGCTAAAGTATGGACATTGACAATGATCTATGATGTTTATTTCATGTGTATTGTCATATCCCTGCATCTGGCTCAAGGAGGCTTGCAAGGGTCAGACTGAAGGATATGTAATATCAGTGGTCAAGTCCTTGCCTAGCATACACAGTGCCCTGGGTTCAGCCCCTCGCCCTGCCGACACGCAGACATGCACACCCACCCACCTCCAACGCCGGTGCTCTTCTCCTGGTCTCAGCAGTGGCAGTGGCTTGTTGCTCTTGGTTTTAGGGAATGTTCTCTGGTGAGCAGGGCAGTGCTGGAGCACAAGCTCCGTATTCACTCAGACTTGGGTCAGCTCTCCATTTCCATGCTTGATAGCTTTCTATCCTGGGGCAGGCTAGCTTCTGTGGGCTGCAGATTCTGCATCTGTGAAATGACGGCACACTACCTCCCATCTAGGTAGCGGTGAGGATAAATGAGATGATGTGTACAAGGAACTGGGGCTAACAGCCGTCACCATACTGCCCCTATGAAGTGATGACTGTTACTGTCATCATGACTGTTGAGAGTTAGCAAGCTGGGACTAGACCAAGCAGACTCAATGATGTTTACTGGGTAGAGGGTCACAGTCTCACATTGTTTAATCCTAAATGTGGAGAAAATACTAAGTGTAGATTCTGTAGCTTTTAGATGGGGTATTTTTAAAAATGAATGTTTTAATTATTGTCTAATCCTCTTGTTTCTGTTTTAACTTAGGATTCCTCTGAAGGGTCAGCTAGAGTTCCCCTGTTGTCCACGGTGAAGTTTCTCTTTAGTGGGACAGGTGTTACTTTTGTTCTCAGTGAAGTTTGCAGCTTGCTCCCTGCATATTGAATTGTGAAAGCCAATCAACCATGGCCGACTGATACCTCTAACCCACTCACTGGATGCTTTGAAGCTGTGCCTCTGGGAGACTGCTCCGCTCTGTTTGTTTTACCATCAGGAAGCCACTAGACACCAGCCAGCTCACACCGGGCCGTAGGTGGGCAGGCCCAGCTATGCTCAGTCAATGTGCTCAGCTCGCTTCTGCTTCTTCAAAATGGGAAATTTTATGTTTAATTGCTAGTAATAGTTCTTAAAAGCACTGTCAGTCTTAGTGGACTGTTACATTTTAACTGGTATTTAGGGCTTTTCTCCATGTTGTTAGTGGTGAGTAATTGATTGTTTATTTACTTGTTTTAAAAGCCATTGTTTAGATTCATAACCTAAGTGGATTCTAAGTTAAACGCCTTTGAGCTCTTTTCGTTCCGAGATTGAGAAATCTCTATCTTATTTGTGTTCCACGAATTCATAGCTTTTCCAGACAGTCTTTATTATTTCCATGTCTCATATAGGGGATTTGACCTGGCAGTGAGAAAGAACTCGGTCCAGTGTGTTTTGACAGATTTCCGCTAGTCAGCTGCACCCCATGCCTCATATCTTCCCCCGAGTGGTGTGAGAATAGTTGTGTGTTTGTTAACTTGCTTCCTCCATGGCTATCATCTCACCTGAGACATCTCTGGTGCCACTGCGACATTCTGTGCCAGATCCTGGGACACGAGAAGAGTCACGAACTGCCACAGAGCTTGCTGCAGTCTGCATGTGTGGACGCTGAAGCGGTCCCAGGAAGGGCTGGCTGGCTCTGGTCGGACCCAGTCACACAATCCTAGGTGTCAATATGCCACTCAGCACTCTCCTGAGAGCAGCTGGGAATCAGGAAAGGCATGTGTAACTGTCTCTGCAGGGCCCATAGGATTTAATGAAGAGTTCCCACAGGAAGCAGTGTGGTGTGTCCCAGTGATCTAGAGCAGTTGCTCACTGCCCCTCTCCCTGTCGGGATGGCACAGGAAGCAGGAGTACAGCAGGAGCCACTGCCCAGTGAGCAGCAGGTGCAGGTGAGGATGTTGAACTGTGCAGCCGTCCTCACTCCACTGTGGGGATCCAGGCACACAGCAAAATACGGTTTGCCAGCCTAATGATAGACAGTTGGAAATGCTATGTTGTTGTTGAAAGGAGAGCCGACTCTGGGGTAGCAGAGGCTGACTTTGTGTCTGTCTGTCAGTCCTCCCTTCCATACTATACTGTTTATTTTGTTACTTTAACAGCAATGGTGAAGGAAAATGTGGTATTTGGCCTTCAGCTGGATAGTTTGGGAGCAGTGGAGGTGTTTCAGTTCCTTCTCTAAAGGAGTTTTAGGTCATTCTTAAAGGTCTTCGTCAGCAAATTCATCTGTCTAGGCTTCTGTGTGGCTCTTTCTGTTGTTGTCACTAAGAAAAGGTGTATTTCTTTGTAAATAAAGTTCTTGTAGCAGGTATATAGTGAGGTTAAACAGAAATCCTTTTGTATTACCAAATCAAAGACATTCTCCCCAGCACCAAGTTTCCTTTAAGTGTGTTCCACCATGCTGTGATGTGGCCCTGGGCAGGGCCGGGCAGGGCCTGGATGTGTCCAGGAGTTCTGAACTCTGTTAGAGACAGAGAGAAGAGAGAGAGAGAGAGAAGGAGCAGGATTGAATGAGTGGAACTAATGACCAGGGGTGACGGTCTGGGTGAGGGTGTGAGAGAGAAGTTTACTCCATGCACATGCTTTTCTACAGCTGGCCTCTTGGGCAGTTACCATGTGTATTTGGGAATTTGTGTTTTATTTATTTATTGGATAGTCATTCTCTTATTTAAAGGTATTATAGGTCATTTTTTTCTTATCGGAGCTGTGATCCTGTGCAGAATGAGCTTGAGGGACAGCATAACCTTCTGTGTCTTGTAGTATGTGGCTGTTCTAATCCTGTGGTGTCTCCTGGGGAAACTCAGACAAAAATTCCATCATTACTCCAGAAGCTTGCTGTTGCCCTTCTGATGGGGACACTTGCTGTTTTTGAGCCAGTATTTAACTAATGTTTTAACCTGTGTCTTTTATTTTTTATTTTTTGAGACAGGGTTTCTCTGCAGCCTTGGCTATCCTGGAACTCTGTAGACCAGGGCAAGTTGGCCTTGAATTCAGAGTTCTCCTGCCTCTGCCTCCTGAGTGCCAGGATTAAAGAAAGGCATGAGCCATCACCAGCCAGCTGACCTATGTCTTAAAGGATGTTTGTTGTGTTTATTTTTCATGTTGGAACAATCTCTCTGGAAGTACCTTTCCTTTCTTTGTGGGGTTAATTGCCACAGGCTTTGATGTGTCAACATAGGGAGTATATTTTTACCAGAGGGACACAAGTATGAAGAGATAGATCATGTCGGATTTGGATCTGCACTGGGCAAATGAATGAAGGCTGGGCCCTTTTTCTAATCTTTCACAGAAGTAGATTTTCTCACTGAGGTCAGTGATAAGGTTTGAACCTCCCCTCCCCCAGCACACACACTGAAGGGAACGAGAATTGGGAGACATTGGTTGTATCCGAGTACCAGAACATTTGAGAGGCATGGCTGATGAGTCCTGAGGGAACCCACAGTTGGCCCTCCACACAGAATGTGCTTCACTCAGAAGGTCTTCCTGGAGTCAGTCAGGATTGCGGTGAAAACGCCCCTGGGAGATGAGGTCGTACAGGATGCTGACGGTGGCGATCCAGGCTCTGGAGGGGCTGTCTTGTTGTTTTGTATGGAGGTCAGCTCATCTCAGGGCAGGGCCGTTCTTTCCTCCTGAGCAGTGTTCTCTCTGGCTTTCCTCTCAGGAGCCTGTGTCTGTCTGTGTATGGTTTGAAATACTGGCTTTTAGGGGACCTGGCAGCCACTGTGACTGGCCATGTGACCATGGCCATCTTTGAGAACAGCTGTTTCTAGACTGCCTGCCTGCTTGCTCTATGTAGGGCCTTACACTGGGACTGTCCTCAGTCATGTGCGGAGGTCTTTATGATATCTTTCCCCTGGAAACAGCATCATCTCTGCTCTCCTACACCCTGAAACCTGCAGACTGAAGCTAGGATCAAAATCTAAACCAATAGGACTGTCTTCAAGTTTGGCTCCTAAAGTGAAGCTTTTGAGTGACCCCGTGCCTGTTAGCCCGATGGCAGACTCACTGTCAGAAGCTGGCTTCACTAACTAGACAGCTAATGCTGAGAGCAGTGTGGACTCAGTGGAGGTGGGCTAGTGAGGAGATGCAGGGTGAATAGCCTGAGTGCTTGTGTCACCATGGAAACTGGAATGCGTGAGGCCACAGCCCAAGCTAAAGAGCCTTTGAGCATGCCTCTGGCGTGCTTGGACCAATGGGCTGCAGGGGGCATTCTCTCACCCAAGGCCTTTCAGCAAGGCTTGCCTGTGCATGTTCTACACACTCACTCACTTGACCCCCAAAAGGTTTCTTTAAGAGAAGGTTGCACCTGTTTGTTACTTTTGGTTATTTTGCAGATATGTGTAATTATAAAGAAACAATCATATATATTGTTTTTATATTCATGTAATATTCTGAAATTAAATTTCTGTTTCCTATCTGTGGGTTCCGACTGGTCTCTTGGCTGACATTGCTTTGAAGAGAGGTGGCTTCTTGTTCTAAGGAACAAGATACCTCTGCAAAGTGCTCTTCTTTGTGTGTTTTCCAGTGGGGGGAGGATATTGGGTGGGTCAGGAGGAGTGGGGCTTTAACTGATGAGATTTAGCTGGATGGGGTAGCACACACCTCTAATCCTAGGATTTGGGAGGCAGAGGCAAGAGGTTGTGAGTTGAGGCCAGACTGGATTGCGTAAGCAAAATAATTTCAAAACAAAACAAGGCTGAGGCCAGGCATGGTAGCACATACCTTTAATCCTAGCACTTGGGAAACAGAGGCAGGCCGATCTATGGGAGTTTGAGGCCAGCCTGGTCTACGGAGTGAGTCCTGGAGGACAGCCAGGGGTATATAGAGAGACTTTGTCTCGAAAACCAAACCAAACCAAACCAAGACCAACAAAACTGAGCCCCGGGGTAGGTGGCCTGTTCCTTGAGGAGAGCAGGGTGTCTAAATTAGTGCCTTACTCTGAGTTAGTCCATATTGTGGGGGGAATAGCTTTTGGGCTGTGTGCCCCAACAGACTCCATTTACAAAGTACACCCAACTCCCTTTTAAAATTTCTAGAAATAGGTTGTTTTTACTCTTTGTGCCTTGGTATTAAGGAATGATTAATTCAGTCAAACCAAATCTGTGGTTTGAGAAAGACCAGCCCTCACAAGCCAGAAGAATGAAGGTCCACAGGGCTGCTCAAGTTTGTACTTGAGACAGGTGCAGTCACCACGTTTTCCGATCAGTGTCTGTGGCAGTGCCTCAGAGGGTAGAAATAGCCTGAAATGAAAGTGTAATATGAAAGGGGCATTCATTGTTTATTGACAAGAATACATTCTGAGAAATGCATCGTTACACAATTTTGCTGTTGTGTGACGTCATAGAGTATTCACATATGTGGCCTTAGGAGACACAGTCAGCAAGATGTGAGGATGCTGGCATAGTGTGCCATGCTGCTTACAGAAAGTGCTTTTTTTTTTTTTTTTTTTTGGTAAATAGAGGAGTCCTTCCTAAAATAATGATAAAAAGTAAAGCATAGTTAGTGGTAAACAGTCAGTAACATAGCTGTTATGGCCCAGTGTGTACTGTTCATAATGTATGGGATGCACTTTTATATGGCTGATGGCAAAGTGGGTTGTTTTCCACAAGCACCATCACAAATAATAACACATCACTCTGTGGGTGGCAGATGACTTGACCAGGCAGTGGCAGTTTCAGCCTATGACACTCTTATGGGACCACTGTTGCATACAGTCTCTTGTTCATGAAACACCCATGGCATGTGACTGCATACATTACAAGTGCCACATCCAATGTTAGAAAATGAGTCACAAATGTAAGCACTTGGATATAAGCACTAGAAGAGCAAGTGGAAGCTGGGGAGAGGGCTCTGGCTGAGAGCACTCGCCATGCAAGCGTGAGGAACCGAGTTCAGATCCCTGCACCCACATAAAAGCCAGTGTAGACTGGGCGGCTGTAATCACAGTGCTGAGGCAGGGTGGACAGACAGGCGGATCTTGCTGGAAACCAGAGAAAAGCAGAGGCCATTCCCTCATTCCTGATGGGCTTTCAGAATGCTTCACACCTCTGGATGCTGTGTGTGTGTGTGTGTGTGTGTGTGTGTGTGTGTGTGTGTGTGTGTGTGTGTGTGTGATGTGACCTGGCCCACTGGTGGGACTGAGAAACTGCACTGTGCAAACAGCGTTTTTTGGTTAAATTTTTTTGAAATTTTTTTATATTTTCAGATCTATTTAGTTTGCTCCTCACGTAGTTGTGCTGTACCCATGAGCAGTTGCTGCTGTGAGGGAATGTCAACTTGAAAGTTAACACCACTGCTCTATAAAGGAAGTCCTTTGTGTTTATTTGCCCTGCCTCAGTTTAAAGAGCTGTGTAGGAATTCTCCACAGGAACTTTCTGCTCTACCTGCTCATATTCCTCAGTCTCAGAAGCTTCTGGAAGAGGTTAGGGGTCTCACTCAGCCGCCTTGTACTTTCTCTGTCTCTCTCTCTCTCTCTCATGCGAGGTAGTCCTGGCTGTTGTGGAACTCACAGAGATTCACTACTCTGCCTTCCAAGTGCCGGGATTAAAGGCATGTGCCACCACCATGCCTGGCCATCAGTTGTCATCATCCTCGAGGTCACATGTCCAGCATGAGTGCACAGAGGACTGCTTCATATAATGTATAGGGGAAAACAGGGCTTGTGTATTACATTTGAATTTATAGGTTGTTTAGGGCCAGAATAAACTCTATATTATATTAGTGTCAAAGTAATTGAGGGGCTGGACAGATGGCTCAGTAATTAAGAGCACTGACTGTTCTTCTAGAGGACTTGGGTTCAATCCCCAGCACCCACATGGCAGCTCACAACTGGGTGTAACTCCGGTTCTAGGAGATCTGCTGCCCTCTTCTGGCTTCCACAGGCACTAGGCAGGCACACGGTGCACAAACGTACATGCAAGAGAAGCACCCTACACACAAAATGCCTTAAGAAATGACTGGATAAACTTCAGAAACAGTCTGCATTGGTGACAGAAACATGCTCATGACTACGTTTCTGAGGGTTGCCATGGATGTGGAGGTGCAGGGAATCAGGACAGGACAGTCTTCATGGGTGGAGACAGGAAGAAAGGAAGGAGCACAGGAAGTGGTAGCAGTGGGCTAGCATGTCGGGGTACAGAGCGGTAGCTCTCAAGCTTGAATTCTGCAGAAGCCAACTGAAGCACTTACTGAAACACAGCTGGGTGGAGCTCCAGGAGTTCCTGGCCTCGTATGTCTGAAGCCTCAAAACATTCATTTTTAACCGGTTCCCAGATGAACAGGTTGCTCCAGGGACCATACTGAGAGGTGTGGATATAGGGGAAGCAGTATGTGGGTAGTTTTGTGTTCGGTGGTGGGGCTGATTAAAGGGCTACCCAAGGGAGAGAAGAGTCACTGGGAAGAATAGGCAAGTGTGGGTAGGGTGGCATGGGACAGCAAAGGAAGTCCGGCTGTGAGCCAGTGTCTTGTGTAGCAAGCACAGTTGGCATAAAGTCGGGGTGCAGGGGGGCCGAATTGAGCAGCTCTCCAACTATGAGGGATTCTAATCAGTTGGGGGGTAAAGGAGGTAAGAAGTAAATCATACGGCAGACCATGAGACCGTACTAGCCATCAGCTCTGAGGAGAGGAATAACACCTGTTCTTTTTTAACCAAGCACCCACTGCACCTCAGGCATTTTACATCCCGTGTCACAGGGTGAGGGTGCTCCCCTGGGAGCTAGAGAATTTCTTCCCCAGGCAGACCTCTGGTGCAGTCAACTCTGGGCTTACAGTTGGATTATGACCCCTGCTACTTCCTCCACCACAAGATGTCTAGAGTCAGTAGAAACAATTGTTAGATGTTTTAACTTTTCCCCACACTAAGTCTTCAAGATGTAGCATACATTTGCAAAGACATTATATCTCAATTCAGAAAATCACATTTAATTTCCACTGTTCACCCAGGAAGCTCCATGTCGCCTGCAGGATAATGTCGTCTCGTGTGGCTGTAATCACTGTTTAGGCCACTAGATGGAGGAAGTGACCTTTTACTCAATGCACTAGGTAGTAAACTATAGAAAGGGTGGAGACACCCTGAGATCTTCCTGTCTTTGGCTTATTTTAGACAGAAGTGAAGTGAGTCAGAAAGATCCCAAACCATTAACAACTTAATCTAGCCGAGGGGTGGTGGTGCATGCCTTTAATCCCAGCACTTGGCAGGCAGAGGCAGGTGGGACTTGGTAAATTCAAGGCCAGCCTGATCTACAGAGCAAGTTCCAGGACAGCCAGGACAGTTACACAGAGAAACCTTGTCTTGAAAAACCAACCCCCCCTCCTCCCCCCCCACTTAATCTAGAGCAGAAGAGTTGTCATACCAGGACCCACATGGTGGGAAGAGTGAAATAACTCCCACAAGTTGTCCTCTGATCCCCACATAGGGGTGATGCACACACACACACACACACACACACACACACACACACACACACACACACACACACACGAAAAACCCTTAGTCTAGGAATAAAACACCTGTTTCCTGCTGTCCTACAGGCTAATATCCATGCAGAAGACACTTTACGAAAAGGCAAAAAATTAAATATGCAAATTTAAAGCTACACATTAACATGTAATAATAGTAGAAAACAGAAGGGGGAGTTGTTTTAGGGGAGCAAAGGGACCAGCTGAGGTCACCGATGGGGAGGGCAGTGAGGGAGGGTGAGCACAAGCAAAGTACAATGATAAATATGTATGTAAATGTCACAAGGAAACCCACTGTCCTGTACGTATACTATGTACATAGTAACTAGCAATTTTCAAATTACATTTATTTACCTGTGTGTGTGCGCGTGCGTGTGTGTGTGTGTGTGTGTGTGTGTGTGTGTGTGTGTGTGTGTGTGTTTGCACACCTCAGTATATAGTGATGTCAGAGGGCAGCTTGGTAGAGTCAGTTCTCTCCTTCCACCATGTGGGTACTGGGGATTGAATTTAGGTCGTCAGGGTTGGCAGCAAGTGCCTTGACCTGCTGAGCCATCTTGCTGGACTATAACTAATAACCTTTTAGAACTTAGCAAGTGAAAGGTGTTTCTTGTGAGGAACATTTTCTTAACATTGTTTAGAACCAAAGACCTATGATGGTATGAAGGGGACTCAGCTGTTAGCTGAGAATGTGAGAAAGCCTTCCTTGTTACCCACACCGAAGGGGAACCAGTCCTTCCATCCTACTCGGCTACCCTTGTGTTTCCATTCTGTATCAAGAATGAGGAAACAGCCTACAGAGGCAAGGTTCTCTCCTGTCCCGGGAGTGCTGGTGATGGCCTAACAGTGGAGGCTGGTAGCCCAGCCTAGGCGGTGGCCAGCGCTTGCTCATTCACCGCGCTGTCTCTTGAAGTGGCCGCACTTACAGCCCGCTCAGTGTAGACACAAACTGCTGAGCCTG